CTCTCTCTCTCTCTCTCTCTCTCTCTCTCTCTCTCTCTCTCTCTCTCTCTCTCTCTCTCTCTCTCTCGCTCGCTCGCTCGCTCGCTCGCGCGCGCACGCGCGCTATTTTCCCCTTTCCGTCCCTTTGTCTCTCTCTCTCTCTCACTCCAGGGGATGTGTCCGGTCACTCATGACAGTCGAATGCCCTCACATGCCCCTTTCCCCCCGGTCCCGCTCTTTCTCTCACGCACACACTCATTCTTCCCTACCCGCACTCCTTTTTCCCTTTCTTCCTTGTCCATTGCCTCCCTTCCTCTGTCCGATTCCATCTTTCGCCTTGCGCACTCACTCCCCCTGCCGATCTTCCGCCAGCACCACCCCATCCTCTTCTCTCATTGTTCTGTGTGTGTCCCCTCTCTCTTCCCGCGTTTCTCCGCGCATTTCTCTCCTCCGTTGGAATCCTCTTCGATATCCAGAAATACTCGATGTGGCCCCTTGGGATCTGATATGTCATTTCATGTCACATCCTCTATTCCTCTGCATGTCGCTCTTTCTCCCTTCATTTCTCTCTCCATCACATGCATATCCACATTTACCCCATCCCTCTCGTGATTCAGCCCCTTCGTCATTATCCTGCTCTCTCTTTTCCGTACAACCTGTTCTCCTCCCTCTTCCTGCTTTGCAATTTCTTCTTTCGCACCTTGTCCGAATCCCCGCATGCACCCTGCATTCCTCAGGGTGCATGCCTCACCGTGTTGCCTTGGCATTCTTTCCCCTGCACTTCATCAGTTCCTACATCCTCACCCTGATTGCCCGGCATCCGACCTTCTCCTCCTCTCGATCCGACATCCTCATCGTCCCCCTCGCAATCCACGTTGCCCGTCCCCTTCTTCACAAATTTGGTCCACGGCCTACATCCTTCTCCGATTCACTTTAGGTTCCTCCTCAATGTCTTAACCTTCCCCACCCTCAACGGCAGTGAACTTACCTTGAAAGCTTCACCATTTAACTGTGACTCTCCTTCTGCTTCCTCTCTTGTCGCATCCCATCCTGATAGACGAAATCCTGACCCTCTATCCTGCTCCTCCAGCCCACTACTCCAGCCCTCGAGATTTCGATGGTGGCCTTCTCTTCCCTCCTTGACCAGGCACTCGACCTCCCCCTAGTGTTCCTTCTCCCCCTGCCTCTCCGCATTCACGGTAAAATCCATGCCTACTCCTTCCAATTGCAGCCGTGCAAAATCCTGCCGCACTTGCAACATAGCACCCCTGCAAAAAATGTAGCAGCAGCCCTAAACGAATGGATTAACGCAAGGAGAGATGCAGGGAGGGAGGCAGGTAGGAAGGGAGGGAGGGGGGAGAGAGATAGTGAGGGTGTACTTCGCCACGCCGAGCATACCACCTCTTTTGTTTTTTGGGCCGAATGTGAACGGACCTCTAAACCTCTTAACGCACAAAAGCACTGAGATAGAGGGAGGGAGGGAAAAGGGTGCACTTCACCAAGCCTCACAAACTCACCTATTTCCTTTTTCGGCCGAGTGTGAACGTAACTCTCCACACCTTCAGGCATGGCACCACGGGCAGACACACACAAAGAGACAGAGAGAGAGAGAGAGAGGGACGAAGGTGAACAGGAAAGACCAACTAGGCAGGGCGTGAGGAGAGGGACGAAAGGGGGCGACCGAATCAGGCGTGGAACGCGTTGCATGTGGGGCATGCACGAGGGCAGGTAAGGGATACGACGGTGTATCCTCCATGCCTCAGCAGAAGTTTTGTCCTCATGACACAGATAAACAAGGAATCAGATTCATAGCCTTGATGGAGATCGACCTCAAAGTTGATGGCAACTCCCCATAACAGAGAGAGAGAGAGAGAGAGTGATTTGCCACAGGGACGGTGGGCGACTGTTTGAACGCAGCCCGCCAGCGCGTTCAAACAGCCGTCACCATTTGCCCACCGTTAGCCTCTACCCAGCGCTCCAGAACGGGAAAAATCCCGACATGTTGCGGGGAGGGAACAACTACGCATCGGGATTTCCGTTCTCGGCGTCGGCCCCCCCCCCAATGCAAAAAAGAAAGGACGGGCCTCGCGCCACTATTCACGAAATGTGCAAAATGAGAATGAATCTTCCCCCTATAACATGGAAAGATACACCGCCATATTTTTTGGTGAGTAATGGAGCGAGGCCTGACTTTGGCCGCATATTCCTCTAAGTGCCTCGTCGCACGTCGGGCCTGCTCCACTAAGTACCTGGACACTCTCTTCCCCCCTGTCCCCCTTGCCTCTAAGTGCCTCATCGCGCGTCGGGCCTGCTCCACTAAGTACCCATGGTCCTCTTAAGTACCTGGACACTCTCTTCCCCCCTGTCCCCCTTGCCTCCTACTGCGGATTTAAACCGAGTGCACCTGGTTTGCCCTTACACTCCCACCCCATACCACTTCTTCCTAACACCGCATGTTCCCCATAATCTCTTTTTCTTACATTTCCATCCCTTTTTCCTCTTATCCCTCCCTATTTATCCCTCAATTTGTTAAACAGTCTGCGAACCTCAGCTTCTCTGTATTGTCTATAGTTACCAGTCTCCCTTCCTTTCCCCATGTGTCCAAGAACCATCTTCTTCCTGCTTGTCTTCCCCTACCCCGAGGGACCTTCCTCCTCCAGTCTGCTGCAATCATTCTTCGGATCATTTGTTTAAATGTGGCCTTTATTTCCGGATCCGCCATGATCCTCCCTTCAAACAGTGTCCGGTTCCTTTCCGTCCAAATGATCCAAAAGCCAACTGCTCTGATTGCCTGGCCCAAGTAACCCCAGCCCTTTTTGCACTGGATGTTCTCTGCAAGACCTCCTAGTAGCAACCATTCTCTGTCCCATTTTAGGAGTTCCCCGGTCCACCCTTCCCATTGCTTTGCCCACCATTCCCATGTCCTCTTAGACGTCGGGCAGTCTCATCAGATAAGAGGAGTTGGCTCAAACGCCCAGCAACATCTCTTGCACTGTGTTTCTAAGTCTAACCCTCTGCTCATTAACCAAACGGCTGATGGCGTGGCCAACAAAGAGGTAAGCCACAACAGGGCTGCTGCCCTTGTGTTTGGCGCCTCTGTCAATTGTTCCCAACAGCTTTGGAGCGCTTGAGCAATTCATTCCGTGTCCGTTTCCAGCGCTCTGCTCCGCCTTTCTGTTGCAGCCATCAGTGGGGTTTTCACCGGGGCTTGGACGTTATATGCCAGGTTCAGGGAGAATTCGTCCAGGTGCGCAGGTTCTCCAAGCATGCCCCTGCCTCTACATGCCCATTGATTGGGATCCGCCTTCAGATGATCGATTGGCTTGCCTTCCCTCCAAATATTCACCTTCCACTCTCCTTCCTCATTTACTTTCTCTCTGGCTCTAACTTCGGCCAGCCTTCCTTTCGGAAGCGATATGTGCTCCTCTTCCCCATCAGCGGTTTCTAGTTCCCCCTCTGAATATACTAGCCTCCATTGATGAAACTTCCTACCTCCTTCCTCCGACTGTTCCACCACCTTGAGGAAGGCTCAAGGTGCTGGGCTGCTTGCTTCTGATACTGGGCA